GTATACCACATAGGATTGCAAAGTTCACTGAATTGCCAAGTTGCTGGTAACAGATGGACACCGGGGCATGCAGAGAGGGGAACAGAAGCAGACTGGATGTAATACACCAACAAGTTTTTGCGATGGACACTACATATTTAAAACATTTGCGTATGGAAGTGCCACTTAGATTCTTTTTTAAAGCTGATCATCAGCTTCAGTTGTCATAATGTGTGGCACACAGCTGCTGAACAAACTCTTCCATTATCTTACGATGCTCAGCAACAAAGTAGTTGCATTCATTTGCCACTTTGTCTTTCAGCATCTCCAAAAAAAGAAGTGATTCATGAAAGAGTGTCATTTTAAGTGTAGTCACTACTGCCATCTGTAAAGGCAATGACTGTGGTTGCATTTGCATAGAGCAAGCTGGCACAAAGCCACCAAGATAAATCCAAAAAATATGAAAAACAGAACAGGAAAATTTGATTCTCATCTCAACTCCGACATCTTAGCACGTAATCTTGGCAGACCCCTCCGTTCAGGGCTATATGATTGCTGCATTCAGCAAGTGTAGCCTAATAGGAGAAACTTTAAATTGAGTCCTCACTCACCTTCCCAGGTAAAAGCAAAGGGATTGATTACATCAACAGGCGGCCCCAGATGTCTTTTCATCCCTCAATCAAAATTACCAACACAAAGTCTAGTCAATCTTGTCTTAATAGATTTGTTATTTGAGGGACTTTTATTACTGTAACTTAGTGCAGGAGACCACATTGGACTGACACTGATGGAACTGCGTACTAGACAGACAGACAAACAAATAAGTGCTACATAAGAGACAATGTTACTTTTTGGGGAAATGGATGATCTGGCACCATTTATTATGGAATCAAAAGGGCTCTGCATAGGAGAACCCTGACCTGTGTTCTGTCAATGAGGAAAGTGTAAAAGAAAGAGAAACAAGGAGACCTCCAGAAATTGGCTGCAGCAAGCGCTCACTTTCTCTTTTCTCTATAAAATGTTTACATCTCTAATTTTCTGTCCAAAGAGCAGAAAAGCTGTCCAACCAAGCAACTAGTGAGCTACAGACTGATCAGTGCTGTGCAGATAACACTGAAGAATCAAAAGGATAACAAAACCAAATTCTCTTTTTGTGCTTTGGACTGGTGATACAGAGCTAGGTTCTCCTGACAATTACTCTCCTTGAACTCAATTTGCTTTTGTCTGTTCTGTTTTGTCTTGTGCATATGTGCGAGACGGTTATCTTATATGGGCGACCCCTTATTCTAAAACTGTGCCACAGTTCTAGATTACACAAGGGGAACCATGCCATCAGTCAACGCTGCCAAGTCTCTCAAAAATAGATAAGATTGTGTCTCATTTTATAAACTCCAAGTATACAAGGAAAATACCTGACCCTAGGAAACAATGACCTACATCCAATACAGGTATATCCTTCTTTACACAAGGTGTTCAAAACAGTACTCTAGGTAATGGTCGTGCAACCCCCTGTACAGTTGTAGTAAGGTTTCCTTGCAATAAAAGCAAACACTTCATTTCATTTCCTAGTTATTTGATGCACCTGAATGTTAGTATAGAAACATACCCAGCTCTGTACTGCAGCATTCAGCAGTCACTATTTAGATATTATTCTGCTTTTCTATTGTCGTTGCAAATGGACAACTTCACATTTTCCCAGTCAGGCTACATCAACCAAATATTACCCTTTTGAGGAAGGGGCACCGACCCAAAATGTTAATTCTGCTTTCTCCTTCACAGATGCTGCCAGACCTGCTGAGCTTTTTAGCAACTTTCTTTTCGTTCCTGATTTATGGCATCCACAGTTCTTTTGGTTTTTATCAACCAAATATTAGCCCACTAACTTAAGCAAAATGTATCCTCCTCAACTTGCTTTCCAACTTCTGCATCATCAGATCTGGTTACAATACAGTCAGCCCCTTCATTCTGTGAACTGCAGCACAAGGAAAGAGATTGAGCACCAACCAGTGCTGTGAGTGGATTGGAATTGAATCATAGTCAGCACAGACATGGTAGGTCAAAGGATCTGTTCCTGTGCTGTACTGTTCTACAGTGTGTGCACCTTATCTTGTTTACTTGCACTTGGTCCATAGCCTACAAACACCTAGGCATTTTAAGTGCACATCCTGAAGCTTTTCAGGATGTTGAAAAAAAACTGCCTCCTCCACCCTCTCAGGTAGCACATTCTAACACCCTTTAAGTAAAAAAAATTTTCCTCAGATCCCCTCTAAACCACTCGTTGCTCACCTTAGAAATATAACACTTATGCCCTCCAGTCCATGGGCGAAAAAAAGAGACTCATGATCTTCCTGGTCCATGCCTCTCAATTTTGTATACCTCAAATCAGATCACCCCCTCAGCTCCAAAGAAAACAAAATCAAGTCTCAGCAGTCTCCCCTCATAACTGAGATGTTTCATCCCAGGCAACATGCTGGCAAATCTCTATTGCACCCTCTCTAATACAATTATGTTCTTTAAGATGCTGGTTGCTACACAATGGCATACATCATTTCACATGCAGCCTAGTCAATGTATTATAAAAGTTGAAACACGGCTTAGAATCCCTACAGTGTGGAAAAGGCCATTCAGTCCAACAAGTCCACACTGATCCTCAAAGAACATCCCACCCAGACCCATCCGGCTACCCTTTCCCTGTAACTCTGCATTTCCCATAGCTAAACACCTAACCTACACATCCCTGGACATTATGGCAATTTAACATGGCCAATTCACCTAGCCTGCACATTTTTGGACTATGGGAGGAAACCAGAGCACCTGGCAGAAACCCACGCAGACACAAGGAGAATGTCTTTGTGAAGTTTACAGAGTCATCCAAGGGAGGAATGGAACCCAGGTCTCTGGCGCTCTATTCCACCCCTTGCTACTATATTCTACAATGCAGCTAATGAAGGCAAAAATCCCATAAGCTTTTTCACTACTGTGTAGCTATGTAGACACTTTCAGGATAAATGGACTTGTACACCAAGGTTTATCAGTACTGCCTGGAGACCTAACAGTCATGGTGCATCTCCTTCCCTTATTATATCTCCCAAAGGCATCACCTCACACTTATTGGGATTAAAATTCCATTTGCCACAACTCTACCAGCTGATTAGTATCAGACTGTAGCAGGAGACCCTTTTCCTCATGATCAATACCAGCACCAATTTTTGTGCCAATTACCAGTTTCATCCTTCAATGGGCCAACATTTACTTTGGCTATGCCCTTCCTCCTTAGCAAAGAAGGTTGTCTGATTTTACATTGCTTGCTAAGTTATGTTTATCTCAATTTCTTATTAATTCTCAAATTATTCTTTACTAAAAAATTAAAAATTGACAACCTTTGCAACATTGTACATCTTTTCTTTTAAAATAGATAAATTTCTTTAGTTTATTATTCAGTGGAAGATGTATCTGAGCAATGAAGCATCCCTTAAAATGTTGGGCAATACGATCAACCTGCCTTTTAGCCAATTGTCTAAATTGGACTCCAAGTCTTACCTATATAGCTCCGTAATCACCATTTATTTAGAACTGGATACACTATTTTCCAGCTCAAGTTTCTCACCATCAAACTAAAATTGAAACTGTCATTTTATGGCCATTCATCCCTAGAGGATGCTTTTAGGTTAATCCTGGGTCTCGTTACACAAGCAGGTTTAAAATATTGCTCCCTAGTTAAAGACACAATATTGTCTCAAACTATTCAAAATACACCTCGTTCAACTACACAAAGCCTCCAAGGGAGAGGAATACCTCCAAATAAATTAGCTGTATGAAGAAAAAGAGATGGGATCAAAATTTGAAAAATAAATGCCAAAAAAGAGTGAATTAAGACATCAAGCTTAAACTTTCCAAAAATAGTCCAAAATATAGTCCATTGCAGAAAAGAACGCAATGAAATCATAAGCTAGTTTGTTTTACTCTGATTGTAGATAACCTCAGAGTCCATAGGGCAGGGAAAAATTAATGAACATTTATGGGTGCCTGAGCAAGCAAGTAATGTATCAGGCAGGTTTCTGAAGAAATCACAAAAGGATATGAAATCAGATAAGCAGTGCAGAAAGAGCATTGAAAGAAGGTTAATTGGAATTACAGGGAATGAAACATTATATTTATGAAACAGACAAGAAAAAAAAACCAGAATGCTTCTCACCAACAAATGAGAGGCCAGAGTCAGGATCTCAAGAATGGAGTTCAGAATTATTCTTACTCAAGGATCACTGGGATGTGAAACGCTCCACTACAAGTGGCTATTAAGACAATTATAATCAAAGATCAAACTGCACAAATATTTGAAAGAATACATTATAAAAGTAAATGGTTCAGATGGCAATAAGAGGAGACCTAAGGGCAAGCAAGGAAGAAACTACCAATTATAGAACAGGCAATACCTTAATTTAGTGGTTGTTTTAAAGGGGTCATGTATTTCAATTCACCATTGATGGTTTGGCTGTTCATACAGACAGGTACAGATTGCTAAAATAAAATCCTGAATACGGAGATTCGATTCTGATATTCAATCCAGTCTTTTATCCACTGCTGTGAATTTCCTATACTAACCCATTTCTGACAACACAACTTTTGAATGAGTCAGTAGAAGCAAGGACAGTATATGGTCAAGCTGCAAACTTGAACCGTTGTCTACAGTTGCTTCTTATTCTTTCAGACATACCACTTTTTAAAAACAAGATATACCTTAGAGACAGAATCCAAGCAATGATTTCACCTTTAGCATTGTCATCTGTTTTCGAAGTTAGTTGTTCAGAAAAGGTACCAGAACATGACTTTTTGACAAAAAAATCAAGCTGTATGTTAACAGAAGAAATTGTTACATATAAAAAAGGAAAGATTGTTTGTTTCAATTAGGAAATGATCTAATTAGAGCTAACAGTTCATAACAGTAACTGCATTAAAATTACCACTTCTAATAAAGCTCCCTTTAAACAAAAAGCAAGCAAATGCACTTGACACAATCTCACCTAAGTTGTGGCGCTTGGACTTTGCGTGCTCGTGAATGTGTTTCTTGGTAAAACAACCAAAAAAGACACAATAGAGGCAGGAATGCAGTCGGTTGAGGTGAGCGCCACACATGTGGCAAATGCAGGATTTTGCCTGAAAAAAAAGAGAAATTCATGTTAAGAGGCAAACAGTGTCAGAATAACCAAAGACAGAACCAGGCTAGTTTAGACAAGCAATCTCCAAATCATTCATTTACATGTTACCTACGTGTTTGTTGACTGAAATTTCAAAACCCAATTAAAACTGTAATGACAACCAAAGATTTTCTCTCAAAACAAAATATTCAGCAAATAGGATGGAAAACTCCATAAAATTGCTAACATTAACAGCTGTATTCAAAGCAACAAATACAGGACTAAAAACTTCACACAAATATACCGATTCAGATTGAAAAAATAAGCTAAATTTTCCAGGTTTTCCCACCTGAACAAAGACATGAGCCAGAAGTTTTGGTTCCCACTTGAACAATGACATGAAAAAAAGCACTGGAAGAAGTTAGAGAGTAAATTGGTACATTAAAAAAGGAGACTGGCCTCAGGGAAATTAATTTCAGAATTACATCCAGTGCCATGCACTGGGGCAGTTATGAACCAGATGAGATTTCAATTGGAGGCTTCAGGAGATGGTGCAAAATGGAGGGAGGAACATACAATTCTGGAACACCCAAGCAGAAATAACACCCTCAGAAGACAGGGTAAATAGGACAGAAAACAAAATGAAAAGCTCACAGGGAAAAAAACAAGTAGCCATAGGTGCGAAGAAGTGGCACTTTTCTTGCGAATTGAGCAAAGTGATAAATTAGCTACCAAAAAAGGAGAAACCAGTTCCATTAAGTTTTTTTGTTGTTCGGGTATGTAGCTATGTCAGGATGCAGAAAAAGGACAGCTGTAGTAAGAAATGCTCCTCTCTGCCCAGATCCTAGCTTGCACTAAAATGCCTTTCACCCATCAACTGTGCACTTTCTGACCGAGATTGCCTTCTGGTGTAGTAACCCCTCTAATTTATAACGTTTCCAGTTCTCTCCATAAGCTTGCCTTTCATTTTCCTTTTCCAAAGTTTCCTTTCGACCTACAATCTTGAAATCTCCCTGCAGGTCTCAAATTCTAGCCTCTTGGAAAGACCAGATTTAAATCTCACACTATTTACTACCAATGTTGCAGTTACCAAAGACCAAAAGTTCTTCAACTCCCTCATTGCCTCTATTTGCAAAAACATTCCTTCAAGCTGAATTATTTGAGCAAGATTTTGGTCATCTGTTCTACTAGTTGTGTTTGATAACGATTGTGCAATACAGTTGAGCGGCTGATTATATAAGTGCAAAAGGAATGTTTTAAATTGACAGTAAAATATCATCAAGGGAAAGCCTAGCCACACAAACAAGAAAAATCCATTAGAGAGTTTAAAAAAAAAGAAAAAATCCAAGATATTTGGAGCAACGTTATTGAAATCCTGACTATTAAATAACTAAAATGCATGCAGATAAAAGAGGCCTTTGATAAGAAAATAGGACAACACTGGGAGATCCGAACCTAGCTAATGGAGCAAGTGAAAAAAGTGAATACAATTAAACATTTTCTTCGAAGCCCTTTGACCCAGAAGCAGTTCAGTTCAATAAGGAAGATTCATTTTTTTTTTAAATGAATGGCTGCAGCATCTGTAACTGCCTTCAAGAAAACTTGGAAAAAGAAGTTGCAACAATGTATAAATTGTCACGTTCTTGGTTAAAAAAAAAATAATCAGCATGAGGCCCAGCAACTCTTGATCTGGAAGCGATATCAAAAAGGAAGAAAAAAGGAGAGAGAAAAAAACTGCACAGCTAGGCACAGAGGAGAGGTACTAGTAAGGACGGTTTTAGGAGACAGCAATACAGGTGCAGGAGCTCTGAGATACCGTGTATGCGTCTTAGAAAAGGTCTAAACTGAGACCATGGTGTAATTAGCTCACAGACACTAAAGAGCTGGGTGCTGACAGAAGCGTTAATGATTTAAAAATTGGTTGAAAAAATTCTGGTAGAACTACATTATCAGGACTATCGTGATCACAGGAAGAAGAAAAGAATGCTTTGATGATACCTGTAGTTTAGGATGTCTGACCTCTCTGCATGCATAAAGAACAGCATACTGCAAAAAACTGCGTAGCTGGGGAACACATTAAGTCAGCTCTGCTGCATTAACTACAATTTACCTTTATTTAAAGTATCATTTGCCTATTGATTTGTTTAATTTATACAGATTGATTTCTGTTCCAGTTACAGAAGTGAAATCTTGTTTTATAATTTCTTCATTTGGGAATCATTCAGTAAATTTGATTATTTTGATTTAGTTGCATCACACAGATCGTAACAACTCCAAGCCATTTTCAACTCCACAGTGCTTAGTTTTAAACCACAGGCCAAAAACAAAGCAAGAAGAGTTGCAACATAGAATTAATCGTCGTTATTAAGCCACATTCAGTAACAGGCAAGAAGGGAAAAAGATGAAGATTACAAACCAATCTAAAAGAAAAGCTGCTTTCACAGGGATAAAATTAGACTGGAGTAAAATTTGGGAGGAACCATTGCAAAACATCAATTGTTACATTTAGAACTCCTGTACCACAAAAGTACAGAAAAAGAAACATTTCAGGCAATGCAACAGTTGCTCTCAAAGTTTATTTACTGGTGCTCTAAAAAGGAAAGTTTTATGTAAAAAGCATTTACAAGAATAACAACATTGAGAATGAAACAAAAAAGGTCAGAAAACAAGGATGGTGAAAACAAGAACACCAAAAAGCCACAAAAAAAAAACACGAAGAAATAACCTAAGCTTTATTTTCCTCCCACAGTCCAAAGATATGCAGGCTAGGTGGATTGGCCATGCTAAATTGCTCGTAGTATTCAGGGATGTGTAGATTAGGTGGGTTATAGAGGGATGGGTCTGGGTGGGATGTCCCGAGGGCCGGTGTGGACTTGTTGGGCCGAAGGGCCCGTTTCCACACTGTAGAGATTCTATGAGTATGAGTAAAGTAAACAGAGTATGATCTCACGCTTAGATACAACTTTAACTGAGGCTACAGGGAACAGCTGATACTTAAAATGGCGAAAATAAAACAAGGAGGTAGAAGGAACACTAGAGATTAACAATTGTCAGGTACTTGGGATATGGCCATAGCCAACATTTGCTGCCAATCCTGAACTGCTTTTGAACCAAGTGGCTTTCCATGCCATTTCAGAGTCAACCACATTGCTGAGGGTCTGTAATCACATAGGACAGACTGGGTAAGACTGCAGATTTCCTTCCCTAAAACACAGTGAACCAGATAGGTTTTACAACAAAATTGATGACAATCAACATTACCCAAATGACTGGATTTCAGTTCCATATTTAAAGTTTGAATTTGAATTTTACCGGCCATGATGGAATTTAAAACCTACATCCCCAGAGAATTAGCCTTGGCCTCTGAATTACTATCTAGTGACATTCAAACTATGTATTACAGCAAACTATATGATCAAGCAGTCAGGCTGCACAACAAACCTTACACAAGGGCAAATTCCAGCTCAGATGATCATGACCAGTTTAGTGAAAATTAACACATGAAATAATTTATACGGGGATGCAATGGTGCTGGACACTAGTGAAAAATTCCACAAGAGTTAGATTGATATTTGGATGGGAAACAATAAATGTTTTCAACACGTGGTTTGGTGGGGTGGTCCAAAAAGTTTCTTCGCATTTCCAATATTGATTTCAATTCTGGTATTGCATACTTGTTATTTTATGGATCAAATTTGTTTATATTGTTGACATGGACTTTACTCAAGCATTTGACAAGGTCACTCATGGTAGGCTGGTCCAGAAGTATAAGCCACATGGGATCCACTATGAATTGATAAGTTGGATACAAAATTGGCTTGGTTATAGAAGATAGAGAATAGTTGTGGAGGGGTGTTTTTCTGACTGGAGGTCTGTGTTCCTAAAAAAAACATCGGATGGCATGAAAATCGATGGAGCTTTAGATAGGGAGGAAGATGTCAAATGATACAGAATATAGACCTGTTGAGAAGTTGGACAGAGAAATGGCAGATGAGTTTAATTTGAACAAGTGAGAAGTAATGTATTAGGAAGGTAAACAACAAATGGCAGGACGCTGGAACATCGACATACAGAAGATTCTTGTGGGTGCAAATCTGTAGCCCCCTGAAAGTTGCACATGTGGATAAGGTGGTAACAAAAAATGGTAGGAAGGCTTACCTTCATCAATTGGGGCATTGTATATAAAAGCTGGCTAGCTGTTTAAAAACTTTAGTTAGAAACAGAAGATGATAGCAAGAGGAGGCCATTTGAGCCTGCTCTGCCATCCTTCATGATCATGGCTGATCGTCCAACTCAATAGCCTAATCCTGCATTCTCCCCATAATCTTTGATCCCATTCACCCCAAATGCTATATCTGGCCTCCTCTTGAATACATTCAATGTTTTGGCATCAACTACTTCCTGTGGTAATTAATTCCACAGGCTCACCACTCTGGGTGAAGAAAGATCTTCTCATCACCATCCTAAATGGTTCACCCTGAATCGTCATGCTGTGACCCCTGTTTCTGGGCACACCCACCATTCGGAACATCCTCCCTGCCCAGTCCGGTTACAATTTTATTAGTTTGAGATACACCCACACACCACCCCGCCCCTGGCCTCAATTTGACAGAACTCTAGCAAAAACAATCCCAACCTAGTCAAACTCTCCTCATACGTCAGATCACCATACCCGGAATCAGCCTGGTAAACCTTCACTGCACTCCCTAGAGCGCAAGAGCATCCTTCCTCAGAAAAGGATACCAAAATTGCACACAATATTCCAGGTGTGGTCTCACCAAGCCCCTGTACAATTGCAACACATCCCTGCTCCTGTATTCAAAATCTCTCACCAATATACCATTTACCTTCTTTACTGCCCGCTGCACCTGCGTGCTTACCTTCAGCAACTGGTGCACAAGAATGCCTGGGTCCTGCTGCACACCCCCCTCTCCCAATTTACAGCCAGGTTAAAAACAAGGCGACATTCAGGTAGTAATGTGAAAAACTTCACATTTATCCAGATTTACTGCATCGGCC